GCAATTTCTAAAGGTATCACTTCCCTTCTTTTTTTGGAAACACTTCTCATTTTCTACTCTGTTTATAAGCTGCTTGGTTTTTGCAACAGTCCCTGTAAATATAAAACACTTTACAATCAAATGAACACGTCTGCCATTTTCTAGAGTAGATGATAAAAGTATATTTGATCCTAAATACAGTGTAACCTCCAAGAATCAAGACTTGGAGGTTACACTGTATTTAGGATCTTCAACTGGGGGTCCTCAGAGTTATTGCAGGGGGGGTCACTTAATTATAGTTTAATCATTTTTACTTATTTATGACATAAATCCAATATATTTTGCCTTTGCAAAAAAAATTTTTTGTAGAAGTGGAGTTTCCTCCCTCACCTACCTGAAGAGCAAATACAGGTCAAGACTGCAGCCTGAGGCTAATATGGCCCTCTGCCTGACAACCTCCACCTGCCTAGTTAATATGCAACTCAGTTTTATGTAGGACGGGGTCCCTGCTTCATCTCTGTTTCAGCTAACAGGACTCCCTGCTCCAAGTTGTTCACGTCTGTATGACAGTATTAAATGTCTATCTTAGTTTGGGAAGTTGCCATTTGTACAGGTTGTCACACAAAACTTTCACTTGTACAGAACATCTTAGTTTCAAATGCAACGCAACGTTGCACATGGTTACAAAGTCGGCATCAATGCAGGCTCACTGGTTGGAGGGTTACATAACCCACTTCAGCTCCCTGCTAATTGGTTTGGGGGGGACACTTAATGTGGCGGACCCTCCACGTGCACACGAAAGTGGAGTAGCAGTGAGAAGGCAGAGGGTATAGGGGGTGGTTTGGGAACAGCCCCAAGTAATTGATACTCATGTCTGAGTCAAATTGCAAGTCATTAAATTTGTTCTGAGCGCAGGATGTCAGTGCAGTCGCATGCATTAAGATGCATATTGAATATCACCTCTGCCATGTGGCAGCTGTGCCAAATAATAAGAAGAGCATCCAAATTTAAACTTTTATGGATTAAAGAGGAGCTCAGGTGTCACTGCCTCTACATGTAATTTAAACCATGCGCCACATCCTGTCTGGAAGCTCACACTGTCATACTGCCACACAGGTTGGAGACCCGAATGCCTTCCTGCACTACTGGGTCCTGAGAGTGGCCTTTTCTGGAGCAACAGCATGCGTGGCTCACATCGATGGATCAGACCTGTAAGGAGGATAAATACATGCACACACGTTCCTGTCAGTGTGTCAATAACACGTCTCAGCCTTGATTCTTCTCCTCTCTGTTTCTAAAGGTATATAGCCAATGCAGGAGACGCTCGGGCGGTATTGGGAGTGCAGGAGGAGGATGGTTCATTCAGCGCGCTCACACTCTCTAATGACCACAGTGCCCAGAATGAGGATGAGGTGGCTCGGATACGAAGTGAACACCCTCCATCAGAGAGGAAGACAGTTATCAGACAGGTAATACACCTGCTGATTTGCTCACTTTGGTCATTGTTTCAGCGTTTATTAAAACCTCTTCCTCTCTTTCTAATGTTTTCTTAATCAGGAACGCTTGCTCGGCCTCCTCATGCCGTTCCGTGCATTTGGGGATGTGAAGTTTAAGTGGAGTATTGAACTGCAGAAGTGTGTGTTGGAGTCTGGACCCGATCAGCTCCATGAAAATGAGCACACCAAGTTCATCCCTCCGAACTACCACACACCCCCCTACCTGACCGCCGAGCCGGAGATCACGTACCACAAACTGCGGCCGCAGGATCGCTTCATGGTGAGAGCAAACAAATCCTCTCCATACTTTTTCCATAATACAGCGATGCTTAACATCATTTCCAAAAAGGAGAAATTAATGACCATTTTGTTTCAGCTTTTTTCACAAATTTAAAAAAATATATCCATCATTAGAAGTTGCAATTTCTGTAAATCATCTTTCAACAACCTGTGCAGCTGCTTGAATCTCTTTTAAAGTTTGGAGTGGACGACTGTTTCCCAGAGGGGTATGAACAGCCATAAATCGCTGAATTAATCGAAATACGGCCGACAATTTGGAGGTCTGGAATCAGGCTGGGAGGTCTCTGCCCTCTCCTAAATGCTAGAATGATATTAGGAGACATTATGGATCTGGCATCTCTCTTTTAGATGGGAAACAATAAAGGGACAGTTCCCCCTCAAATCAAAAATACATACTTTCCCCCATACCTCAGGGTTTCCGCAGGTCCTTAAAAAGTCTTAAATGTCTTAAATTCAGTGTTAAAAATATCAGGCTTTACAGTCATGTGAAGCCTTATTGTAACAGACATTTTTATCTTATTTAGTTTAGCCACCTTTTTATTTCTTTTTGTCAAATGAGTCAAGCTCTTTTGTGTGAAAGTCCACATTTATGATGTTACAAGTCTTTAAACCTACCACTGAACATAATGCTGTCTTTTTTCCTTATACTTGCACTTGTTGGCAAAATGAAGATTAACCTAACTCACTCTAATAACCATTTTCCTACATAAAACCTACCTCTGCACAGGACCACACAAACTACTTAAGTTTCTATTTACTGGCAGTGGTTGAATAAGATTATTTGTCCAAAAATCAGTCTTAAATTTGGTTAGAAATATATATATATAAAAAAATTGAAAAATAAATTGAAAAATAAAAATACAGTTGCAATCAAATTTATTCAACCCCCATTGCATATTAGGCTTATTGGCAAAATATACAATTTCTCAGCTGTTTGCAATAAACAAATTACACAAGAACTGTTTAAGTAGTTCAATGAAACTAATATTACAAGGGTTTTGATCCAAATTCAACACAAAATGCTACTTTTAATGACTACTGCAGTCTCAAAATTATTCAACCCCTTCATGACAAGCATCTTCAGTACTTAGTAGAGCACCCTTTTGCTGTTGTGACCTGCTGCAAACGTGATGCATAGCCAGACACCAGCTTCAGACAGCGTTCCTGAGGAATCTTAGCCCATTCCTCATGGGCAATGGCCTCCAGTTCAGTAATATTCTTGGGTGTGTGTTTTGCAACCGCCTTCTTCAAATCCCACAAGAGATTTTCTATGGGGTTCAAGTCAGGCGACTGTGACGGCCACTCTAGAATCTTCCATTTCTTCTTCTGAAACCAATCCTTGGTGGACTCTTGAGGTATGCTTGGGATCATTATCCTGTTGGAAGGTCCAATGACACCCAAGCTTCAGCTTCCTCACAGACGGCACAACGTTTTTACCTAAGATTTCCTGATACTTGACTGAATCCATCGTGCCCTCCACACGCTGCAGGTTTCCAGTGCCAGAGGCAGCAAAGCAGCCCCAGAGCATCACTGAGCCACCGCCATGCTTCACTGTAGGCAGGGTGTTCTTTTCAGCATATGCTTCATTCTTCTTCCTCCAGACATACAGCTGTTCCATAGGCCCGAAGAGTTCCAGTTTTGTTTCATCGCTCCATAGAACAGAATTCCAAAACTTCTGTGGCTTATTTATATGGTTTTGAGCATATTGGAGCCGACTTTTCTTGTGCTTTTGGGTCAGTAGTGGTGTACGTCTTGGAGTCCGGGCATGGAGCCCTTCGGTGTTTAGTATGCGCCTTATTGTACAAACTGAAACCTCAGTGCCTGCTGCCACCAAGTCTTGCTGCAGGTGTTTTGCAGTCACTCGAGGGGTTTTGACCACTTGCCTCCTCAGGAATCTGGTGGCAGCCGCTGATAGTTTCCTCTTTCTGCCACGTCCAGGTAGTGTAGCCACTGTTCCTTTAACTTTGAACTTGCGAACTATGCTACAAACTGTATCTCTAGGAACATTCAGAGCTTTTGCTATCTTTTTGTATCCTTTTCCTAGTGTTTGTGCAAGGCAATGATTTCTTCTCTGAATTTTTTGGACAATTCTTTTGACTTAGCCATATTTCTAACATGCAATCAAACGTCACTCTCAACAAACCCCTAGCCAGTCCAGGTATTTATGTGTTCTGTCTCAAGCACACCTGAACTATGAAGCCCTTGATTAGTTGCACCAGGTGTGCTTGAAACAGGGGGTTGAATAATTCTGATTAGTTGCATCAGGTGTGCTTGAGACAGGGGGTTGAATAATTTTGAGACTGCAGGAGTGATTAAAAGTAGCATTTTGTGTTGAATTTGGATAAAACCCATGGTAGTATTAGTTTTATTAAACTATTTCAACTGTTCTTGTCTACTTTGTTTATTGCAAACAGCTGAAAAATTGTACATTTTGCCAGTAAGCCTAATATGCAATGGGGGTTGAATAATTTTGATTGCAACTGTAAGCACCCTTTTTTGATTTTTTTTTTTTACGGTAAAACGTGTCTTTTTCAGAGGCGCTATCCAGCTTTTAGGCTCATGATTGCATGTTGTTTGGCATACTTTATTATCTCTCTGGTTAGTGTGAATTAAGGGCTGTATGACCTTTGCAGACAAAGACTGTTTGTGAAGAAAGAATTTCCAGTGGCAGTATTTCTTAAAGTGGACATGGAGTGTTTTGTAATGAAGCTCATTTAATGATGTCACTCTTGGCATAATGTGAGTGACATGGCTAATCTGTTACAATCAATTGTGAGTCAGACTTCTCTCTGTCTGTCCCTGCAGGTGATTGGCTCTGACGGCCTCTGGGAGACCCTCCACAGACAGGAGGTGGTTCGTATCGTGGGGGAGTATTTAACAGGGGTGCACCAGCGTCAGCCCCTCAAAGTCGGAGGCTACAAAGTCACCCTGGGACAGATGCAGGGGCTGCTCGAAGAGAGAAAGGCCCGCGTGTCTTCAGCTTTCGAGGATCAGAACTCAGCGACCCACCTGATGCGCCACGCAGTGGGGAACAACGAATTTGGCACGGTCGACCACGAGAGGCTGTCGAAAATGCTCTCGCTGCCCGAGGAGCTGGCTCGCATGTACCGCGATGACATCACCATTATCATCTGTCAGTTCAACCCCCATGTGATCGGAGCACAGAGACAGGACGAGCAGTCCTGAGCTGCATAAAAGCCATCCACTGAAGCGTACGCACACTTCAGTAACTGCGTAACCTTAGATATACATACGAGCACACTCTGTGGACAAAAAGGCCATATTGAGAAAATATCTGTCCAGCGGTAGGAATGAATCATTTTAACTCTATTTATGTACAGGATTTGTATGTTTGTATGCAGTCACGAGAAGATCAAGTTCCTCATGAAGTCCAAAGATCTTCGTTGGATCGGAGTCTCTTTTACAACATGCTGCAAATATCCTCTGGTAACCGTTTCATACTCACCTCTCTGCGTGGCTGAAAAAATGCTGTTACAAACTGATTTTTGTGCCAAAATATTCAACCTCCTCGTCTGCAAAGACTCGACGCCGGGGTTGAAATTACAGAGATTCCAAAGAGGGTGAAGGTTGGGATTTTACAAGTAAAGAGGCCGTGACTGATGCAGCACTGACTCGACCTCCTCCCTCTGACCCCCTTTACACCTGGCATTAAAATGCATTTTGGGTGATCGGGTCACAGTGGTCTCTGTCTCATCTGACGCTAAAGGCTCATTTATTTTCCCTTTGTGTTCAAAAATAGCTGCGTTCATTTCAAACGTGACAGGTGCTGCCACATACGTCCATGTGTCCTTTATGTTGACATAGATACATCCACTAGATGGCGCTAGAAGGGAGAATCAAAGGGTCATGACAACAAAGAGGTTGTATAATAATGTACCTTTTAACGCGGCAGCATTGTAGACGGCAGTGATTTACATGGCCATATTATGACACGTGGCTGGAGAATTCTTTTCACTGTAGAATCAATCTGTTTGGTTCTGCCATTTTTAAAAAGTCTCATTCGAACTATGCTACACTGCCCCCATGATCTCTGGTGGTACGGCTCTGTTTTGTCCGAATCTGTCAGCTTTCAGAAAACATGCAAAAATACAGACGAAGTGAACGCAGAACAGACAGAAGGCTCTGTCTGTGTCCACATACGCATCTAACATTAAGCGAACATGCACTATAACACCCCTGAGTTGTCTCGCTCATCTGTATTGTATCCCTCCTGTTGGTCTTTACAATCATTAGGCCTGTTTGACCCTTGTTGACCTCGCTGTTACCTTCTAACTCTTCCTGACTGGCTCCATAGCAAAGATTTTTTTTAAAATAATTGTTTTATTTTTACACCAGTATTGGCTACGAAAACCGCAGAAAATATGATGTGAGCCCTGTGTCATTTTAGTTAGTTTTTTAATTTTTAAAATAAAAATATTTTTAAAATTCTTATGCTAATAGTAGTTGACAGACGGGGGAGGGGCCTGTTTGGACTTGGTTCAGTTGTTTGAGCCCGACAGAGCGATCAGGTCTAGATGTGGACACTTAAGACACATATTAACACCAGATTTCAATGTAATCAAGTTAAATCATAGCTGGGCACAATCTGGAGACAAGACACATTGTAATGCGAGGTGTAAAAGGGATCTCTCATATGGACTCTAACTGGCCTCTGCCATTATAAGCCCAACGCTCTTCCTGTGCAGTCTGGTTTTGTTGTTTGCATCCCAGGCACACTCTCTCTCACCTTCCAGGCTGCTCCTCCATCTGTTACAACACAGCACTGTTGCATCTGTTCGTTTTTACGTCTTCGTATAAGTCATTGTATGATATATTCTTAGCAATGTCCAAACATACTCGTTTTGTTCTGCATTTACACGTCAGCCTGTGACGTTTACTCCAGCACTCTGGGTTTCAGGTGACACAGTAACTATCAGGTTTCGGTGCTGACTTTGAGCTCTCCGCAGACACATTGAGTAAAATGAAAGTTTGTTGTTCTTTTCCCACGTTTTTTGTGGATTTAAAGGGACGTGTGTGTGTGTAGAGTTTCTCTTGCCTTACATTATTTTTTTCTGATGGGTCATTAGCACTTAACAGTTGGTTACAGTTTGGGGTTTTATTACTCATGACAGCCATGGTGAAAGCAGAAGCAGCCCATTCTCCTGATACTCTCCAGTTAAACACTAATGACGGGGTTGTATCTGTGTGTGTATATGTGTATTTAAGAGCAGAATGTAAAAAGGAGCTGTTTGAATATTAAATATTATTTATTCAGCTTTTGCAGCATGTTACACGTCTTTATCTACAGTTTTATGTATAAATTGTAACTTATGTGGGTTTTGTATATGGAATGGTTTAATAAAACACTGATATACACCACGTGGTACTGTTGTCGTGTGTTTTGGTTGACACAGGCAGGCAGGCAGCGGTGGACATGTTGTAACATCCCTTAACACAATGACCCCCTAACCTCGACCCACTGGAAGGTCAGTGTGCGTAAGGCTGCAGCTGTGGCGTCAGCTGGTGAGTCATATGTCAGCACTCAGTGAGTTCAGTGTTACGTGTGTCAGTGACCTGTTATCAGTGGTGAATTATAACAAACAGTACATTAACTCACTGTACTGTCAGTCAGATGGGAAACAAATAATCAGTGACTTTTGATTGTTGGTATTTTTTTAAAGAAATGTTTCTTGCAAAGTTTAAGCTTCTTAAGTGTGACAATTTCCTACTTTTTTGTCTTAAAGGGACAGTTCACCCCAAAATTAAGAGCACATATTTTTCCTTTACCTGTAGTGCTATTTATCAGCCTTGATTGTTTTGGTGTGAGCTGTCAAGTGTTAGAGATATCAGCCGTGGAGATGTCTGCCTTCTCTTAAATATAATGGAGCTAGATGGCACTAAGCTTGGGGTGCTCTAAGTGTCAAAAAATGCATTTAAAAAAAACTCAACAGCAATGTCTCTTTCCAGGAATCATGACCGTGTTACTCAAGATAATCCACAGACCTTGTTGTGAGCAGTTTCATGAAGGAACTATTTTCCTTCGACCGACCTACACCCACCAACTGTATCACTGCGCAGAAGGAAGCGTGCATCTGCTCATGGACGAGGGGTTCGTGCCCATGACAGTGTGAGATGATAAACAATAATTGCATCCTCCTCAGCTGAGCTCTAACGTTAGCTAGCTCAGTGGTGCGAGGTGAGCTAGCATTAGATGCATGTTTCCTTCTGAGCAGTGATACAGTTGGTGGGTGTAGTTTGGTAGACTGAAAATAGCTCCTACATGAAACTGCTCTCAACAAGGTCTGTGGATTATCTTGAGTAACCGGGTCATGATTTCTGTAAAGAGTCATAGCTGTTGAGTTTTTTTAAATGTATTTTTTGGCGCGTTGAGCACCACAAGCTGAGTGCCATCTAGTTCCATTATATTGGAGGGAAGGCAACTGACACCAAAGCAATCCAGACTGATAAATTGCAGATTTTTGACTATGGGGTGAAGTGTCCCTTTAAATTACAGTCAAGTAAATAATTATGTGCAAAGTGTGAAATGTGACAGGCGTTTCTCTCCAGTTTCTGACGTTTTACAAACCAAACAAGTGAGGAAATTATCACGGAGACAATTGGCATGATCCATAATGAAATTATAATTATTTACATTCCACAATAAAAAATGTAAAAATGACAACTGTATAGTGCTGCTTACACATTGATGCTTTGGTATTGACTATCTAATGATATAACATTGTAACACTCTAAAGGGCAGTGGAAGAAGAAGCACTCAGGTCTTTCATTTCAGTAAAAAATAGCAGTACTACAGTATTAAAAGACTGCTACATGTAAAATACCTGCATTCAAAACTTTACCTAAGTAAAATTGTAAAATTGTTAGCATCAAAATGTACTAAAAGTTACAATAAATTAAAGTACTCATTAAGCAGACTTGCCAAGAATGAAATGTATGTTATGTTACTGGATTATAATTATTTATGCATTAACGTGTAAACAGCTGGTAAAGATGGAGCCAATTTTAATTAGAATTTTCTGCACTGATTACTTCTACTTTTACTACTTAAAGCACATGATCCTGGTGATACTTACGTACTTTAAACCCAATAACATTCTCAATGCATGACTTTTATTTGTAATGGAGTTTTTTTTTTTTTCACTGTGGTATTGCTACTTTTACTCTCCACACCACTGACAGTGACACCACGGGCAACACAGACACAGTCACCTGCCACTAGATGGCGCTGCAGTATTAGACAGGACAGTGTCTCATAGAGGAGGTTTGACTATGATGAAAACATTGACATCAGCTGTATGATATATCTACTAACAACTTACTTATAGGGTGTAAATGTAAAGAAAAGTAAGGATTAAATATACTGTTTTGTCTATTCACCTAACTGTGGATAAAAAACAATCTGCTGGGAATATAAATTGTCTGGTTTTCCATTAAAGTATAACCTCTTTCAAACAATATCTTCATCACTAATACAACAGCCAAGTTGATTTTGAAGTTCTTTTAAAACATGAATTACTTTCAGGCATCACCCACAAAGTTCAAAGTATTATATTATGATTTTTTTTATGTTTTAAGAACATTGTAAATCTGTTTTTAAAAAGTAAAAATGAAACTTAAAACTGTCTCATTATGAAGGATCTATGTAACTGATCAAAACTATCCTCACATGGCTCCAGATAACAGCACACGGTGAATATTGCAGACTGTATTAATAACGTCCTGTCTTCATTTGCAAATAAAACTTTTATACATGTTTCCTGTTGTGCCACAAATGGTCACAGGAAACTTTACTTTAAGCCAACATCTCTTTTTGATCGTCATCGTGATGACTGGACACTTGCTGTGTTTGGTTTATAGGTGACATTCAGTGAGTTACTGGAAATAAACACAACATTTTGGTTAGCTGTTTGCCTCATTTCCGCTGCAGCACGGATGTTTTTCCAGATCTAGTTCATAACAGCAGCCTGAATGACATTCGCTTATGGAATTTGTTTATATGCTTAGACTTTTCCGTGGGATTAAGACGCAGGATGTGTAATAAAATCATCCCACATAAAATGACTGTCTGATGTGTTTAAACAGAGTAGAGCTCAACACCTAATTTATTTAAAGTGATCCACCACTGGGGGCAGTCACAGCTGGTCAGGCTGTGCTGTGGAAAATGATATGACAACATTGTTTTTATCCACACAGAATAAAATAACTGGCATTTAAAACCACTTTTGGTTAAATTTTAAAAGCAGAGTTGATCTGTTGATCATTTTACAAAGAACAGAGATGGTCTCTTTGAAGTAGAAACACTCATAAATCTACAAAATGTTGGTAATAAATGAGATTGATGTTTGATGTTCCAATTTGAAGTTTACTGCTGGGTCAAGGAAAAGGGCGGTTTAGCTACTACCGAATAAAACATATTTTTTAAAAGATAAATAAAGACTTTCAAATATCATAATAAAATAAATAAAAGTCTGCAAAAAAAATTGAGAAAAAATGGATTATAAAGGTAAGACATTAATTTCCAGAATATATTTTTCAAAGTTATACATTTATTTGATAACACTTTACAATAACCACCATTTATAAAGGGTAAATGCTAGTTACTTAAGCTTAAGTTATTTTACTGTTAACAAACAATGAAATTAAAATATTAAAATATATATATATCAGTAATGCTATAATTAATGGTATTTTAACTTTTTACTGTTGCACACAATTATAACATTTTATTAACTATATTAAGTGTTTGTTAATGGTTATTTTTTGGTTTATAAACATCTGTAAACATTATTTGGGTGGCCATAAAGTTGCATTTTGTAGAAATGCACTGCATAGTTTTTATTAAACATTTAACAAGGTATTAAAAATTATCAGTTATAACTTTATAATAGCCATACAATAATGTTAATAGACAGTTTACAAACCAATTATTAACCATTAACCAATACTTAACATAGTTAATAAAGTGTTGTAAATGATAAACTGTTAAAATGAAATACACTGAACAAAAATATAAATGCAACACTTTTGTTTTTGCTCCCATTTTTCATGAGCTGAACTCAAAGATCTAAAACATTTTCTATACACACAAAAGACCATTTCCCTCAAATATTGTTCACAAATCTGTCTAAATCTGTGTTAGTGAGCACTTCTCCTTTGCCGAGATAATCCATCCCACCTCACAGGTGTGGCATATCAAGATGCTGATTAGACAGTATGATTATTGCACAGGTGTGCCTTAGGCTGGCCACAATAAAAGGCCACTCTGAAATGTGTAGTTTTGCTTTATTGGGGGTTCGGGGGGGGGGGGGGGGGGNTCGCATAGAGTTGATCAGGTTGTTGATTGTGGCCTGTAGAATGTTGGTCCACTCCTCTTCAATGGCTGTGCGAAGTTGCTGGATATTGGCAGGAACTGGAACACGCTGTCGTATACGCCGATCCAGAGCATCCCAAACATGCTCAATGGGTGACATGTCCGGTGAGTATGCTGGCCATGCAAGAACTGGGATGTTTTCAGCTTGCAGGAATTGTGTACAGATCCTTGCAACATTGATTGTTAACAATAAAATACTATTAACCAAAGTTTAATTAACTAACAATTTACCAGTTATAAAGTGTTAACATGGAGTTTTCCTTCTTTCCCTCCAGACGTTGCATCACTAATGACCACAGGACCGAGCGGTTACTTATATATACATGATATAATAGTTTCACATTTTTACTTCCGCAACATATTTATGTAACTGTGTAAATAATCTCTTGGAGTGTGCTGTGTGCTGTGTACAGTATGTACTATGTGCATTGTACTAATGTGTTCTGGATCCAAGCCAGATGCTAAGCTCTTGAGGTCATTGTGTTATGTTTGCATTATTGTCTTTGTCTGTTGTAAAGCAGAATAAAATGCTCTTCAAATACGATTGCAATAAATTGGTTGACAGATGTATGACTAACACGTTTTTGACTTGGTGACTTGGTTTTTTAATTGTGGGCCATATACAGAAAAATAAAAGGAGATATGGGCCAAACAATATTAAATGTATAGTTTTTAACCAGTTACACAGAAAATTAGTTTTTCTAGACCAGAAAAGTGCATTTGCCGTAGAAAATCAATCTTTTTTTAAAATTACTACACAACATTACTAAATATTATTGTTTGATATGACAGTGGTTGCCTGGTGCCAACATACTACAAAAAGTATTTCTATATCTTCTGTCCTTTCAGGTCCACCGCCATGTTTACTGAGGGAAATCAGAGTACCTCAGAGATGATGCTTTTCTGTAGTCCAAGGCGGAAGTTAGCATCGTGCTGTTTCCCTCGTCAAAATGCCTACAGACTTTTCCATTGGACTTTGAATTACTAAAGAAAATAAGCTTTGTGGCAAACTTAAGTTCATGCTGAGTAAATCAGAACCAAGTTTTCGTTAATGTGTTGCCTATTTCTCGCCCAAAATGTTTCCAAAAAGATATATTAGCTTACCGTTTAACAGTAATTCAGGACCGTTTGTTACCAGCCGGCCGCCATCTTGTTTCCTGTGGGATAAATGGCTCGTCACCTACAAGCGGAAGTTGGTTTGCTGTTGTGCAAAGCATTCTGGTAGTTGTAGGTTTTCTAGCCTTTCCCCTCTATTTTCTCTGATTGTGTAGCACCAATTTAAAAAGCATTTCTACTGCATAGACAGCCTAGTTTCATGAAAAGATGATTTTTCCAGCAGTGAAGTGCTTTTTAAGAAGTAGGAGAATTTTCTTAACACAGAAAGAAACACTAATATCTTCAGATATCACAAGCATTCATAATACCTGGAGACGAGTGGTTTTCATTGGACAGAAAGGAGATGAAAAACTGTAATACATATATATATATATATATATATATATATATATATATATAAAAATTACTAAAAGCAGTCAGATAAATGAATAAATCTTAGATGTTGTAAAATACAAGTACCTTGAATTTGTATTTAAGTGTGGTACTTGAGTAAAAGTAGCTAAATATATTCCACCCCTGAGTATTTCTATATTAGGATAAAAGAGTGCCCCGGCACATCTGGATGGGAATCACTGGGGACAAAAACAATCATGTGAGACTGTGTGGTGATGGTGAGGATTGATATCCAGAGGTGAGCAGGTCATCCATCCATCAAACACAGTTTACTCTCCCTTTCTCTCCTGTCCCTCAACCTTTCAATGTCTCCCACCAGCTCCGCGTGTGTGTGCTGTTGTGGAAAGTGTTACCAGGATACAGGCAGGGAGAGAGTACAGACATAAACACTGGAGAGGCTCCATGTTGAGTTTATCATTACGAGGCCGTAGCTCAGTCCACTCCTCTGACACTGTCCTCTGTTTTGTTTTGGAAGCTGAAGCAGGCCGTTCGATGACTCATCTCACACGCACACACTCACAAATATGGCACATGGATAGGAAGGTTGCACGGTCATAGCTGCACATGTGGCACCCATATTCAACTCTCACATGTGTGTAAGAGAGGGTGATTTTCTTTGTGTGTGTGTGTGCCGTGGCCTCTTTGTGCTGCCTCAAAGCCCACAATCATGCCAAATCATCCTCTCAGCACCGCTAACAATCTGCAGCCTGTCCCCCACTGTCTGAGAGATGACTCAGAGCATCGCTCTCTGCAGCAGCACCGTGGCCTTGACTGCTCAGTGACAGACAGGCATGAAGCGGGTTGGATGCAACAGTACTGACTATAACCACAGAGTAAACGTTAGTCAGAAATATGAGCAGGGAGAGCGGAGAGGAAGTTGTTTGTATCGACGCTTATGTCACCGGTCACCTGCTGCACCACGCGTCTGCTCTGACATGTACTGCACACATGTACCGCACATGCATCCACACAGGTATACACACATACAGTGGTGAAACCCAAAATGGATCCCAGTTTCTTTGTTTATTGGGAAACACAGCAGTGACTGGTCATTACAAAACACAGAATTGATAGTTCATTACACACAGTGACATTCTGGGTTTAAGATGTTTCCAGCTTTGACACAACACTCAACAGTTATCTGTCACATTCAACACAAAAGCTCCGGGTCAGAAACTAATTGAATTATGTGAGATGATTAAACTGCTAATGAAACAACCTGAGTCTGGGAGCGAAATTCAAATAAAATACGTTAACAAGCTTTATAAATGCATGATTAGCATGGAGCCACCTGACCACCTATTAATCAGCTCTCACTTGTAAATAAACATAACCTCATGTAAATGCGTGTCTGTCTTTGTGAGGATTAATGTGACTTTTAGACCTGGAGGGAGAAGACACTGATGGAAAACCAAGTCCTCATTTCTGCTGTTGCGCTGGTGAAGATTTAGTCATTAATTAATTTTATTTCATTTGTTTATGTGGCAAGGAAAATGCTAGTAAAAGTTTGTAAATGAGCCGTCAGCACAGAATGAGGGGCACAACTTGGTTTGAGGGCTGAGGTTCGAATAAGGTTCAGGTTAGGCCTGTAGATGTGATGGCTAAGGTCCTTACAAGTATAAAAGTACAAATATGCGTGTGTGTGTGTGATGTCTCTACATCATGGCGTTCCTCTCTTCCTCTTCAGTTGCCCTCTTGCCCCCTTTATTGACACGTTTGATCACTACGACGAAGACAAGAACTGCAACAAGACAAAAAAAAAATACAATTTTAAGAGTCAATTACAGCCACAAACAAAATGTAGTCAGCAACATAAAACTATACAATAACATCAGACTGTACAGTGTGATGGATGCTGGTTCACGTGATGAGCAGGCCTGTCACGATAGCTACTTTTGTTTGAAGATATATTGTGATAAATGAGACCATTTTATACCACTGATATAATGATAATACAACAGCATATTAATGCAAGTACCATCACAGTCTGCAGTGTCCTGACACCATCAGACTTTTCTGGGAAGACTGGACTGGGTATCTGTAATAGACTATTATGAGTTGCCTACATTAGTTAGTCTGTCTTTGTTTTCACTTGTCAGTTTTTTATCAAGATGACTGTGTTTGTCTGGGTTTTTGGGTTTCTGTTTACTGCGTTCTGTCGGGGTGGACCAGTCACCTCTGTCAGCTTTGCTAAATTTGTACTAAATTCAGGCTCTTATGTCCATTTTGCAAGTGTTGTTGGTGCTTTTTGTGGTTGGCTTTGGATGGTGGCGGCGTGTGGTGAGAGTCACTCATCAGAATGAGGAAATCAACTCACCAGTCTGAACACTCTCCTTCTGCATTGCCTTTGTACATGGGACGCCCACACTACCCACTGAGCTACTGGGCACCCTCAGCTGCTAGCTGCTAGCTAGCCAGGTTGAGGTTTTAAGATGTAAACATGAAAAACATTTAGGAAAAGATGGAGAGGAATGGACTCCAGCTGAACAAGTATTCTACAGGCACTGGATAATAAACTGGACAACCTCCATGCCACAAAAATTTCAAATGGAATATCAGGAACTGTAATATAATTTGATTAGGGATGAATCTGGGATGATTTTTTGCAGATGTCCGATATGTAACAACTTATTTAATCGATAACCGATACTGATATCGATATATCCACATTTTTACACATCTAATTTTAGTGATCATCGAGTCTCTTCTGTAGTGGAATCAGCATCATATTATGCATGCATACTCTTATCATGATGGCCCACCATCAGATGGAGACATGAAATACAATGCTTTTTAATGTATGCGATATTCATCCATTGTACAAAATAAGAAAAATCATGTTGGCCGATTCTTCCAATATTAGCCAATACCGATGATGTACCGACATTAGTGTGCATCCCTACATTTGATTTACCAAAACTTGACTTCTAAATGCCCATCAACAGAGCAGAGGACTCTGGAGAGAAGGGAGGAGGTGTGTGCTTTACAGTGGATAAGGACTGGTGTTCGGGTGGAAACGTGAGGTGCTGTCCCGTTCCTGCTGTGGATCACTGCTATACACCGTTCAGAGCCAGCTGCAAAGCAGCACTGTATTTGTGAAGAGCAGCGGTTGTCGAGGTCAGGATGTGCAGACAGTTAAATCATCCCATATACAGAAACCGTGGATCACCAGAACCATCCGGAAACATGGGCAATAAAGCAGCAGCCTTCAATGTAAGAAGACGCCAAATAAAAACGAAAAAGACTAAACTAGGGTGCACAAGTTAAAGGAGCTGAGAGAGCCAATGGATTGATAGATTCTCTCCCTCCTGTGTTTCTGTGCTGCCTTTCCCTCATTTGCCCACCTACACACCTGCCCTGCATCAGCCTCATTAGTCCTTCCCTGCTCCAGTTTTTCCCAGCCAATCAGCTCCCTGCCTGCTCATCTGTATAATCACCTTACTCCCCTCAACTGTGCTTCTCCACCCTTTTCCCCACCTGCACTTCATCTCCTCGTCAGACTAGTTTGTATTTTTAATTCTGGTTTTCAGTTGAGTCTTTGTTGGATCCTTGCTGTTGTCATGTGATCTTCAGTTTGGCTTTTGTCCTGTTCATACCTTGAATAAAAGGGATTTATTTGAGTTGCTGTTGCCTGCAGTCTCCTGTGTTTGGGTCGACTTGCTGCACACCACATGACATGTACACCTTTTTAAAGAGCAACTACCAGAATCGTAGGCTCTATGGACTCTTTTATATGAGAGTTTTATATGAGAGTTTGTCAGACTTACCGCAGAATCCCAGGACGCCAGCCAGGATCCCGATGGTGGGTCCCATCCCTAAGCTGAGGTCACGGTTCTCTGGTGTGATGTAGCAGTAGCCCAGCTCTGTGCAGTTACATACTCTCACTGGTACAGAAGGAAGACAGCAACACATGTGTAAATAATCCGTTATCAGGGACATGATGTGCAGTGAAGTGTCAGTTTGCCTTTAAAGGATGCAGCTGAGGTCAATCTGTGTAAACACATCCCATTAAAGTCACAAACCAACAATGTGTTAGTTTATCATCAACAACCAATCACTTTTTGGCTGTTGCTTAGCAGCTGTGGCTCAGGGTGTAGAGCGGTCGTCAACTAATTGGAAGGTCAGTGGTTTGATCTCTGGCCCCTGCAGTCTACAAGTCACAATGTCATTGAGCAGGATGCTGGTCTCATCGTAGCCTTGGCCACCGATACATAAATGTGTGTGTTGCAGAGTGCTGAGAGTGCTCACTATGACTACAAAAGCGCTGTATAAACACAGACCATTTACCATTTATCTCAGCCTTTGAAATACTGTGTAACCTGTGTTTTCTTGCTAAAAATAAAAGCAGTCTCGAAACACTTTCTGATTTCTCATCTCAGTCTGTGGAAACTAAGCCTCAAGCACATTTGTAGTCAGATCTTTAATAATGTTGTCGACTGTGTGTGATTTTTTTCCAAATTTGTTGTTTGCTTTTCATTTATTTATTTAGCTTCTTATTTCCTCATAATGTAAAAATGTTCATAAATAAAGTTTAAAAAACGTCACAAAATATAATTTTATATTTCAAAAAAACCTTTAAAGCAATTTCCTTAAACATATGAGCAATGTAGTTTTTATCAAATCTTGCCCAAACAGGAGAAAATAGTTCATTTGTTGGGGACTATTTTCAGCGGCGGATTAATACACATTTTGTGACATAGGGAGTATATAAAAACAAGGCAGTGAATGACTCAAATAAATTAGAGCCTGTGTTCATGGTAATGAAGGAACATGTTTTGTACTGTAACAGTATGGTGCCTTGATATACTTTTAATTTTTTTATAGACAAGAATGGAGGTAAATGGCACAGAGGAAAAAGTTATATCAGGCTTTGGCTACAAAGACAATAGATGTATGGATTAGTAAATTGCTTTTCGTCCTTTCTTGGTAGAAGACATGTTTTTAAGAATGTACAATTCATCTGCTATAATTAATATTTTGTTGAGCATGGTTTTCTCACGTAAAAAAGTAAAAAAAAAAATTTAAAAAATTACTGCATTCAGCCTTACGTTTGAGCCTCAGTGAGACCCAGATTCAGATGAGGAGTCTGTTGTGCACCAAAATCAAAGACTAGCATACGTATCAGAATAGTAAGTGTAATCAGCATCTTTTATTTGTTTATGTTGCTTGTTAGCTTGTAGGCTAACTGACAGTGGCTAACACAGCCTTAGTGTTTGTAAAACATACATTAATATCTGCTGCGATTAAGTTTTTGGAAAATAAAGAAAGGGAGCTCCGGGGGCAGGTTTACATCTAAGGATTGCACACTCAACCATGTTTGCTGTCAAAACTTTGACAATGCTAGTGCTAACTCTGCTCCCTGTACTGACAAGTCTGCTCTGCACTGGAGATTTCAGGTTTCTTTGCTGGTTTTGTGTCATTGAGTCTATGAGTCTGTTTCCCTGTCGATACATGTTTGCCATATCAGGGGCCGTACACATGACGTGTCTTTAACCGCCTGGAAAATACGAGGTCAGGCAGTGGGTGCTACTTCCGTGCCTTTTCTTTGCCAGCTTTCAAAAGCGCGGTGGCAGGTTGTGTCTGAGGTTGCTAAGCAATCTTAAGAAGCACCGCATCATGGCCTAGTTACCTGAGATACTGAGTGCAGAGCTGATCTTCTTCCAGGTGCTGTTTGTGTGCAGGCCTATTGTCCGTGGGACAGATGTGAAGCCCTGTACTAAAATGATCAACTTCTTCTCCATATTTATCACAGACTGATTTTTACGGATGAAGAGAAATATGTCTGTCGGCTGTGACTGGTTGTCCTCTGTGCGCTCAATATACAATCGTTGCACCCTGAAAAAAAGGCGCTCAAAACGCAACAATGGATTTGAGGATGCAAAAAACGTGGCCTGTGTACAACCCCTTAGAAAGCAATTGGCTCTCATATTGGTGATTTATCTAATCGAGCAATACTGCTGTAATATCTGAATCTCAGATTTTAGGGAAGTGCACAGAGATCGCCCCCTTCAGTAGAGGAATATGAAAACACCGCTCTAGTGACAAACTTTGTACAGATACAAGTCAGTATAGTAAAGGTCAGACATTTTAGGAGATATAAACATAAGAAAAATTAACATCTTTGAGTGGAGAGGGACTTGAACTTAAAGAATGAACTCACCCTCAAACGCCTGCGTGACTCCCATGCCTGCATTGTCTTTAATGTTAATGTTGAGAATGACAGTTTTATCTTCACTCGGTATTTTCTTCAGGGTCAGTCTAGCTGATGTACCTGCGTTACATTCCAAAGCAAACAAAAAGAATATTATGGTCTGCACAACATCTCCTGATGATGACCTCAGTATTACAGCACGTCAGCGTACCGTCGATACTCTTCAGGTCCCAGTTGGGAGATTTCTTGCCGTGGGCGAAAGCGAAGGTGAAGGGCTGGGAGAAGGGGGCGCTGTCTGTGTCTTGGGCCTTGATGATGACGGGTTCGGGTTTCTTCACACAGATGAAGGCCTGGGTCTCCATCAGTTTGGGGATGTTGTCGTTGACATCCAGCAGCCACACGGTTACGACACGTTCTGCAGACATTTCTGGGTGCTCTTCAGAGGGAAAGCAGAAAGATTGTGAGAAAGGTTTCCTGATACAATACTACTTTGTTACAGCACTATAAGAAGATATAAATTCACCAAATAAGTGTAAAAAACTGTTTAACCTTAGAAAGAATTACCTATTCTACTTTGAGAAAAACAAATACTATTCAGAAATGTTTGGCATCCTTTTATCATTTACCCTGAAGAGAGAGAATTGAAAAGTTATACTGGGTCAGCTGAGTGAATTTGGAGATGACTGATAAGCTCCTCTGCTCAGAGCAGGATGTAAACCTTGCATAAATGGCTTTCTGTTGACTAATGGTGGGATGATGTTGCACATTGTCGACTACAGGATGCAGGAGAAATATTTTCATGTATTAGTTTTCATTTTTAAATTTTAAGGGTAACTTCTGTATTTTTCAACCCGGACTCTATTTTCCCATGTTGTGTCTAAGTGACGAATAGGATCAACAATTTTTGAGGGGTCCAGTATTGAGTGAGGGGGCTGCAGGCGGCAGCAGCGTAACAAGCTGCAATGTAATCCCTTACATCTACAGGCACTGAACAATGTCAACTTAGGTCCACTTAAAGAGCTTGTTTTTGCCACTGACAGGCTCAGATAGTGATGACATAATGGGGAGGATCCCTACAGAGGTTAACATCTTTGTTAAAGATCCTTTTTGAGCCAAGTTAAGGGTTTATTTTTAACCAAACCAGAGGTGGTGATTGTTTGAACAGTGGAAAGACAAACGAATGAGTTTTATTTTGCTTCTGTCAACTCTCAAAAAAGTCCTGTTCACACTAAAACAGTTTTTGACAGGTGCGTTGGTGTGATTAAAAAAAAAAAAAAAGAAAAAAAAAGAACTTATAGTGGACATAAATTGGCAGTGCTTAATTGCCTGCAGGAACTAAATTGCAGCCTGTTTCACTGCAGCGCTCTCACTCAATAATGGACCAATATCAGATTGTTGTTTTGATTAGGCACTTAGAAACAAAACAACAAAAATAGGGTCAAGGTTAAAAATACTGATGTTGCCCTTCACTATCTAACAGCCTGTGTCCACAATAGCACTTGTTTATCAGTGCTTCTGTTTTTCAATTGATCTCAATGAGAAGCGAGCTGCATGTGGCCGCCTAGAGAAAAGGCCCGCACCCAGCACCTTTTTCAGAGCGCTCCTTTTTGTGTGGCCACACCGAGTTGAAAATCTCTGAACTTTTCAGAAAGGCACAGGTGACGTCACTGCCGCCTCTTTAACTAGGCTACTGTCTACTGTCACAGCAAAGACAGATCAGCCGGCAGATGTTACTGGTGAATGTTGTGCTTTTATCACTGTTTGCTTTGTGAGCCTGAAGCTGGCTGTGTCGTCAACCCTCTGTTAATATAGCATTGTTAGCAACCGGACTAATGTTAATGTCAAGATATCGTTGTCATTGTTGTCACATAAACGAAAAACAAAACTAAATCCTTTAATTCTATTAATTGCTGTTATTATTCATACTTTTAAGATATAAAAAGTATTGTAACTTTATTTAAAAACTGTGTCACTTCATAGCAACTGATCAACACAACAAACACTCTAATAAGCTGTGATATGAGTCTGTTATCTCACCCTTCTCAAATGCAGTTACAGTGACTTTGAAAGTCTCCACGGTTTCTCTGTCCAGCTTGTCTTTGGTCTTGATCTCTCCTGTGGCCTCATTGATCTCCAGCCAGCCCCGGGTGTCACCTTCCAACTTAAATCTGCACACAAACACACAACAGCAATCACACACACACAGACACACACACATAGCGAGTAGATACTGAAATAATACGTGACACATCAAGCTCTGAACGCAGGCCTAGGGGAATAATGGTAGTCAAAACAAATCAATAGTCCTGTTCGGGTACTTGTGATAGTCCTAACATCATCCTGACATTAAAAACAAAGCCAGTGCACATCTAGTGGGACAATTCCTGAGCTATGAAAGCTATGCATATGTGTTTGTACAGTCTTCTATCAGAACATCTTGTTAAAGCTCGTAAACTGAACAAGAACGTGGACGTAGCGTCAGTTTTGTGTCCCTCTGGTTTCTAAGGTGATGGTTGGAAGTCTGCATTTGGGTATGCAGCTCGGAGGTGTTTTGACACATACAACACCCCCAAAAATTTATAATTTAAGAAATTTAAGATTTAAGAAGTGTAATAGTTTTGTATATCAAAACTAAAGTTGCTTTAGTTCTGTAGAAGACTTTGGGGGCTTTAGAGGAACTGGTTGGTGCTGCTCTATGTTTCTACTGTTGTCAACAAATCCCATTAAAAAACCAAAAGCAACACATTAATCCATCTGTTGCCATGTTAGAAACAGTCCAGTGAAAACTCAGCACTGCCCACCGGCCAGAGGAAACTTCCTCATTTTACAGCAAAAAGCAGTTTTGTAGGTTACAGTGTTGATAATAACAGTAATTATAATAACTGAAGGGGACAGTTCTGATTTTTTGAAGCAGGTTTGTATGAGGCATTTATCCATAGTAGGTGTATTACACAACAGTAGAGAGCAAATAGCATGCCCCCAGTGTGGAGGAGCAGGCTGGAGTCCGGGAGCTGCTGGTCTACCACCACCTCGATCGGTTAGTTAGTCTGTGTTTTTGTGTGATTTTCGGATCCAAACTAACGTGGTGTCCAAAGCAGTACATTGCTTGATCACAAAGAGGCACATTAGGCGGGCCAGGGGGTTTAAATGTCGTAATGTCATCCTGCAGAAAGGTACGTCAGGTCATGTGAGAAACATTGTAGAAGGGCTAGGGAAAATAGCATTTTAAGCATACATACTTGACCAAAATAAGATTTTTTTGATTCAAATACACTACTATGAAGCTACAGAATGATATTCCGGTAAAAAAAAATAAAATAAATAAATAATAATAAAAATGAACTCGCCCTTTAAATGAGATACATCATGCTTGGGCTACACAGACAATACTGTATTATGTTTAGAATGATCAACTGATTGTTGGTTTTGGTCTCCTGGGATTTGATGGTTGCTGCTTGGTCTTGCCTGTGTCGTCTTATTTCCGTGTGCTTACCTGATCTCTTTGCCTTCTGGATCCTTCGCCTCCACAGTGAGCAGCACTGATCCCTTGGTGGTGTTTTCAGGCACAGTCACATCATGGATGTCCAGACTGAATTCCGGAACCTCGTCCACGTCAGTGAGAGACAAGGAGACGAAGGCTGTGGATTCGCTGCCGTACTCCAGACCCTTCATCAGTGGCTCCGGGTTACGAGCATCAATCTGGAGCTTGAAGGTGGGAGAGGACTCAAAGTCCAGAGGCTGTTAGGAGACAAACAGGCTGGTTAGAGAAAGCAGGAATAAAAGGAGACAAAGAATATTTGACACAGTTGTGACTCTGTTCTCCGCTTGCCCAGTGTAATGTACATTTATAATCAAGGGCACATTCTCCTTTGATTTCATGACACAAGTTGGAAGAAGTCAGATCCAGCAGTTAAATCAGCTTACACTCTTGTGAATAGCAGCTATCAGGATGAATTACATAAATGATAAACGTTTGATTTTCAATGGTTGTGTCATTGACAACTTTTTTGATAATCAGTTGTTTAAAGGCCCTGACACATCAAGCCGATAGTCGGCCGTTAGTCAATGCTGGGCCGTCGCTGAGCATCTTGTTGCCCTAGTTTTCGTTGTGTATCCCACACTGTTGCCACTAGTCGGCCATTGTCTGCTTTTCTTCAACATGTTGAGATGGCGTTGTACGTGGTGGAGCCCGCTGGTGAATGAAATCACTCTGGAATGGATGTGAGGAAAGTAAACAAACAGCTAAAGTTAAGAGTCAAATTGTTATATTTGGTTAAAAAAATGCCATTGAGCTCATAATTGTTTGAATAATTGCTTGCATGGTAAATATACCTTGATCTTTCAACATTGGGTTGTGTTGTTAGTGTGCTAACTGGCTAACTAGCATCTTGAATCTGTCCTATTGGTTTCCCTTGTTTAATTATGAATACAGACTTTTGCCGCCTGCTGGTATGGAGAGTTACCTCCTCTCATGCAAGTGTACGTGCAACTTGTTGGCCAAGGCACAGGTAATATGAGGCAAGGCAACAGTCAGCCCCTCACCTCTGATTCTTTGATGCCTATTTTGTGTGTCTGAGGTTTAAAGGTGCAGTATGTCAAATTTTGTTCTATTTAGCAGTGAGGTTGCAGCTTACAACCAACTGAACCCCCTCTATATGGTGAACCTACGGTGGTCTCCAGGGTAAAGTAAAAATGCAAATGGCCCTATCTAGAGCCAGTGTGACTCTGTAAAAGAGGACCGGAGGTCTCATTACAGAATATTATTAGACATTGACATCTTTACAGATGACACCATAGACCTGAAGAGAAATACACATTATTTTCTGATTTATAAACTAAACCATACATTTATTATTAAAAGACATCAATAAAATAATAAACAAAGAAAAATAATAATTACACATCACAGAAATATAAACCTTACACCATGGGAGGTTAAGAGTTAACTTTTTAAGGTATGAGGGACCTCGAGTGTCTCAGCGAACAGTTAAAGATCAGTGAGTTGTATTAAATCATCTGTGTGTGTTTGTGTGGGAGTGCAGCGGGGAGATACTGTACCTTAGCTACGACCAGATAGCCGACGCCTTTGCCGTCCGTTTCCACAGCAAAAACTTCATCATCATCGCCAGCAGTGATGTGGAACTCGATAAGGGAGCTGCCGCTGTCTGGGTCATCAGCGTCTGTTGCTCTTATGGTGAGCACTGTGTGTCCCACAGCAGTGTCCTCTGCCAGAGTGTGACTGCCGTACTGCACACGACACAGGAACATGAAGAAAATCAGCCAAACATCACGAGAAAGAAGAGACAGGAAGTGGTTCACATACTCACATCATTCTTCTCAAACAGCGGCATCTCGTTGTTGACATCGATCACCTTGACGACAACCTTGCATTCTGTGCTGAAAACTGTGAGACAGGGGAGTTAAAACTGACCCACCTCTAGTTACAGGTGTATTACATCGTACAGTTTCGTATGTGTTACCTGGGTCGTTGACTCTGACGTTGAGGTTATACACCTGGTGGTCTTTCCGCTGCAGCGAGCGCAGTGCCTGGATTCTTCCCGAATCACCGTCGATGGCGAAGGCAGTGGGTTCGGTGGGTGGATTCTGGGACAGGATGGTGAAAGTCAGCTGAGAGTTCAGTGTCCCTTCTTGATCGTCATCATGGGCCAACAGCTGTCCAATCAGGCTGCCTGGAACCACAAGAAACACAACTTGAGAATAAAAATTGATCTTAAATTTAAGGGCCTCCAAAGTCTTTTAGGCTTGTTACAGCAGAGTAAATCCTACTGTCAATACAAGTCTTTTATCCATCCATCCATCCATCCATTTTCAGACGCTTATCTCAGGTCAGGTCTCAGGGACAGCAGGCTGAGCAAAGCACCCCAGACGTCCCTCTCCCTAGCAACGCTTTCAGCTCCTCCTGGGGGACCCCAAGGTGTTCCCAGGCCAGATGAGATATGTAATCCCTCTAGCGTGTTCTGGGTCTGCACCGGGGCCTCCTACCAGTGGGACGTGCCCGAAACACCTCCAACTGGAGGCTTGTCAAATCTTTCACCCACCTCCAAAATCAGTTTACATTACCCCCCAAATGATCTGTTCCACAACCTAAGAATAAGGCACTACACTAAAAGTCAGAAAGAGATTAAAAAAGACCCAACACCTATCTAGCAGCCTTTTATCATGGCAATAGAAAAACACTTGCCAAATAGATGTCATATCTTCTACATCTGGAGATTGTTAACAGCTGACATGGCTGAAAATCCCCTCCATGTGAAAGAGAAATTGCAGTTAGAATTAAATTTAACAACTTAATGGTTCATCTACAGTCTCTCGTCACAGCTCAGGAAAGCACATTGCGTTATCGGTGGAACTTGGCTCTGATGGTGGTCGATGAATGCCCAGCCTCCACCAGTAACACAGGGATGTACAACCCTGACTTTAGAGTGTTCTCAAGTGTAAATCTCAGAAATGTGATAAATATGGATCCAAAAAATAAACAGGATGCAAACCAACAGAAGAAGCAACAGTGAGTGATCAAATACAAAGCAAGAGAAGCAAAGTTTAGGAAATTCTTTGGCTGAATCCCAGCTTTGAAGCATGTGTAACACTCTACGCCATTAATGGCTTATGCGCTAACCACACACATCTTACCTACAGGTTCGTCCTCCTGCACCTCAAACACACTTTCCTCTTTTGCACACACTGGAGTGTTGTCATTAACATCCTCCACCAAGACTTGAATCTCCATGGGTGGATCCACCTGTTTGTCGTCGTTATCCACTGCGAACACCACCAGGATGTACTGAAACAGAGCCAACACAAGATCAAGAGTCAACCCTGAAAGCAGGTTTTGATTTCTACATGAGAAAACAGAGATTTATAAAGCAAACTGTGTTGTGTACCATGTCTTTGTCCTCTCTGTCCAGCTCCTCTGTCAGAAGTATTCTTCCATCTTCTGTGATCTGGAAGGGGAATTTCAGCTCTCGCTCTTTCTGCACTAACATGTAGATGGCGCTGGGATCATTAGACTGGACCTGGATAGAAAGGGCCAGAGAGGGATGGTTAGTCACTGCATATAGAGAGTGTACTTTAACGTGTATGCATTTGTGAGATCTGTGGGGAGTTGGCATTCCACCACACCTTTGCGATATCCATAGGGTAAGTTTCCTTTAAATGCTCTCTGATAGTAATAGGTCCAGGATTGACCCACAGGTTTTGCTGCACGACAATTCGCACTCTGGCGTTTCCACTCAGCGCTGTGTCCAACGCTCCGCCCAGATCCTGCACACGCACAGACAGGGTGTAGTCTGGGTCCTCCAGGGGGTCCACATTCCTCCTCCTCAATTCTGACAAAACAAAGGATGACAAAGGCTGCAATTAGAGCCATTGTTTTTATCGTTTCCCAGTGTAAACCTTGTGTTTCATATATTTTTATATTTAGAAATGTGACCAGAGGAAAGTCCAGGTATGTACGAGGAGAAAAAGAGATTAATAAAGTCAAGGTAAAGGTAAAGTTCCACTGATTGTCACACACCTGAATGTGTGAAATTTGTTCTCCGCATTTGACCCACCCCCTGAGGGAGCGGTGAGGGTGCCGCGTTCGGGAATCATGTGGTGATCTAACCCCCCAATTCCAACCCCTGATGCTGAGTGCCAAGCAGGGAGGCAATGGGTCCCATTTTTATAGTCTTTGGTATGACCCGGCAGGGGATCGAACCCACGACCTCCCAGTCTCAGGGCGGACACTCTACCACAAGGCCACTGAGCTGGTCCTAATAAAATAAATAAATAGATAAATGAAAAAACAGAAATAATATTGATAAGTCAATTAAGTTTCTTCACAAATAAATAAATAAATAGTAATAATATTAATAAATCAGCTCAGTATTATCACAAATAAGGAGGACCTCGCACGCTACCCTGGAGTCCACCCTTTTTATTTTTATCTTCCTTTTTGTCTCCTTGTATTTAGCCGTCTTATCTTTCTTCTCACAGGTGTCATTACATGGGCAACAAAAAGTAAAAGTCTGGTGGTTGAATGTCACAAAAACATTTCAGCAGATCTCTAATTTTGGACAGCTGAGTCACATGGATACAATCTTGGTGATTGGTGGTGGCTTAACCACTCTCCCCGGCTGAACTCATCAACTCCGCACCCAATAAATCACAGCACCAGCACTAATCGCTGTCTTCATTGCAGTCTGTGTTTATCTACATTGACACCATCCATCACTCTCAAACGCTCTAGCTTTTACACACCACAAATCCCTTGGCTGGGATCACTCATGACTTTTAAGATTTGAGAAACACATATGTGTCAAACTAAACAAAAGTTTGTGTACACAGTTTTGTGCTGCAGGATTAGTTCTCAGCTCTTCTTGTTTTTTTTTTTATTCTGGATACAAACCTGCTCTCTCCACACAGGTGAAGAAGGGGTTGTCTTCATAGGGGACATTCTGCACTGGACAGTAGTCGTTGAACTTTGTCTTCAGAGCGTCAATACTCTGATCTTCTCCCCTGCCATAATGGATGCCTTCTCTTGCCTTAAGCATCTTTTCCCCTGTTAAAAAACACACAAACACATCAAATACTGTTCAGTACAGTCAGCTGAGAGATAAAAACAGGCATCTTCAAACACAGACCCATTCACATGCTCACACACACTCAAAGTAATCAGCGATCAACATCACGCGACACATTTAGGCAATCTGCCTCCAATCAGCGTTAATCTTGAGCACACAAGATGAGCTGTTTAATCTGGATTTACAGTGGCACTATACTGCCAGATTACAGGCAGGAATGGACAGATTACTGACTTTCCCATGGAACGTGTTCCTAGTTCTGAACGCTGATGTCTGGGTTCATGTCTGTGCGTTATTACCTGCTTCTGTGGTGGAGATCTCTCCTGTGTTTGGGTCGATCTGGAACAGGAGGATGTTTTGTTTGTTGGGGATCTGGCTGACCAGACTGTAGCTCAGTTGAGCGTTGGGAGTCTGCGGGTCGTCCCGATCCAGTGCAAACACGCGGGTAAATGGGACACCTTGAAGAACGAAAAACTGATGTTAAAGTCTTAGCACAGTAAGATGCCAGCTCGAGTGTTTCGACACAGAGAACTATAGAGACTGGATGTCAGTGAACATATAGAAAAACTGTTTAACCCATATGCATGCCAGGAAAACTACCATAATGGTACTTTAAATGCTAAAACCTATGAACACCAAACATATTCAAAAGCATAGCAGTTTGTTGGTTTTATAGAAGAGGTTTTCCACATTTAAGACAGCTACTGTTTTCCTTTCATTTTAGTACAGATTGAAAATCACTCCACAGAGACTGCAGACTTGCTTGAGCTTCCCATCTCATTCCACATTAAGCAGCTTTAATCTCTTTGTTAAAGTAGTGTTGTCATGGCTAAGTAATACGGCTGTAATGAGGGACATTTTTTCTTGTTGATCATCCTAGAAAGCACCTACATCCAATACATAAGAGTCCACTGCCAAATAGCAACTGCATATGTCCTTGTTTTCTCCTTTAATGTCCTTAAATCAGAGGTAGGCAGTTTTATTTTTGGCATCACTGGGCAAAATTCCACAATAAATTTTAAACATGTTGTAATTCAAGAGGACTGAGGCAAAACTGGACTTCTGTACCTTCTCTTGGGTCTGCTTTTAGGCTTTAGAAAATCTACCCTGTGATAGGAGACTTATGATAATCACAGGCCAAGGGCGTTCATATTGGCTGTTCTACAAATGCAGATGTGTGAGCATGTCCCTTAGGTGAAAGCATGATTTAATGTTGGAGAATCCTGCAGAAAAAGTTGTTATTCCAGCATTGGCAACAACTGCCTGCACTGCAAGAGTCTGACAATAAATGAATAAAACATGCCAACATCAACGAAGCATTTCAGTGATGGAGAGAAAATGTTGCCAATAGATTAGCCTTCTACTAGCCAAGGCCAAAAGCTCACAGCTGCAGGTCCATGTTTATGTAGCTAACATAAGCTAGAGCCTTGAATCACAGTGTCCTTTGCCTCACTCCCCACCTACAGCCCCCCTCGCTGGGAGGAGAGCAGGCAGCAGCTCTGGGGACAGACCCCCACTTAGCAACCACAGCAACCCAAATCCAGCCACTGCAAACTCTAGCTCAAGGAGACCGGAAAGACCAGAGTCCCTGCTGGATGAGCAAACTTTCTGTGGCTGCCGCTACACAGGTTAGACCAGGCGCTGCAGTCGGCCACCAGCCCACTGTGACACCCGGTGCTGGAGGGCTTGAACTGGGCGAATTTGAGCCGCAACAGCCAACTACTGCAAGGTCTAGACAGGCAGGGAGTGAAGCGGAGAGACGGTGGGGTGGTGAACAAGCTAATTCTTTTATTTCTCATGTGTGATCTCATAAACAGAAAGAGAGGAGCAAGAAGGGGCTGAGTGAGCTGCATGTAACTGTCGATGAAATAGGATTAAATAAATCAGTGGCTAGGAAACAGGTTTACTGTATGAAGCATGTGCATGTGCCTATGGTGGTCTGGTGGGAGGGCTTTAGGACAGAGAGGGGGCAGCTATAGGAGGGTGTATTTCCTAATTATGCCGGTTTTTTGCCTTTGCCAGATTTCTGCCAACTTTAAGGTTGGAAAAACAATCTTATTCCATGTTATGTGGCAGTATTTATAATGTGTAAATGCTTGTTCTAACTTTACATTGAAACCCTACACTGTTGGCTGTTGGCACTGTTTTCTAACATCTCCACTTGAAATTGAAATAACAAAAACTGAGGGTCTGAGCAAAGTTCGGATGCACAGATTGAGTCTGTAATGAACTGAGGGTATAGTTTTGAAATGCAATGCTTTTTGGGATGCAGACACGCGTGCATGTGGGTGAAGCAATACACAGTCCTGAAAGTGGTTTCACACATTTCCTCTGATCCACAGGTGAAATGGTGCATTACCCTGGCAAAGGTGGGGTGGAAAAACCTGATTAAACCTGGACATTTAATCACATTCAAAGTACAAAAGGTCCCATTACGGTCACCTGTGATGGATTACATATACTGAATATTTACAGCTTCATGTGTGAACGACCTGTAAAGCAATACCAAGTGTTCCTAGGCCACTGTGTGCATTTACATCTAAGCCACTGCAGGTTTTGACTTTTTTTGTATTAGTAATGTTTCTTCTCCTCTTATTTATGAAACACACCTGCTGGATTGTTTTCTCTGACCAGTGCTGTGTAGTCACTCTGGTTGAAGTACGGAGCGTTGTTGTTGACGTCCAACACATTTATTGTCACATAAACTGGACCATCCACAACTTCATCATCTGCCAGTGCCTCCACCTGGATAAAGCCGCGCACACACACAAACACAAGTATGTTTAAATACATGTTTTATAGCTACTACAATGCAGAGGTATAACTTTCTGTGTGCTTATGAGAGGAGGAAGGACCCTGTTACCGCGAGTATGTAATGGTCCTCTCGTGACCAGTCCAGAGGCTTCTCCAGGAACAGCCACCCATCCTTGGAAATCCTAATGTCGTCCTTACCTTCTCCATTCAGCCTGAAATTATTAACACCTGCATGGGTCACCTGAAACTGTAGAGGGGAAACAACAGATTTGTTGACAGCCGTTTGACACTTTATATTATCATACACAAGAGGAAACAAAAGAAAAAATAGAAAAATTGCTGTACAAAAGGAATAAAATGCTAAAAATGCATACATAAGAGGCAACATAACTGTCAGGTACACAGCTCACACATTCAGAGACACGACACACACAGGGACACGTCAGGGAAAACCACATCAGGGGGACTCAAACGCTAATGAATAAAAGTAGGTTTTGAGTCTGGACTTAAATGAGTCAGTGGAGGAGGCAGATCTGATTGGGAGGGGAATGCTGTTCCACTGTTTGGGGGCAGACAAAACAAAGGCACAATCACCCCTGAGCTTAAGTCTGGAGCATGGGACAGCCAGGAGCCCCAGGTCAGCTGACCTGAGGGACCTGGGCATAGAGTAGGGGGTTAGAAGGTCTGCGAGATAGGATATGAGCTTGCTGGTTAGCATGCTCATTTCAGTAGATATCTCTGCAACCATAGACTGTATAAGTCATGGACGTAGCTACTATTGGTTTGACCATGGTTGGACAAGAGGTTGGAGCTGTGGAGGAGCGAGTGGTGCATCTGACTCAGATTGTAGAGACGCCTCAGACAGCCTGTCACTCAAGCAGCCCACCCTTAAATATGCATAACTTTAAGTATCAAGTCCAAGAAACTCAAAACAATAATTGTACTGCCATGTGTGTACTACCTGATACATGGGATATGGCACCGGCGTCCCCTCTGGCACATCCAGCTCCGTGTTCTGAAACGGGCCCTTCTTCTCCTCCAGATCCTTCCCACCAGCCTATCAGAGCGCAGAAACAGAGGTCAAAGGTCACTGAGTGTAGTACAGGAGGAAGTAAAACTGAACCTCTCCCACTCTACGCCCACATTTGCCCTTTCCGCTTTACTCCGTACTGTAACTGAATGTAGTCGGGCATTAAGGACAGGCCAGTTATTTATTGAACCAAAATTACATGTCAAGTGGGAAAACTCTTCCACTGCAGGACAGGAGAGCAAAGTCTACAGAGAAAGGACTGACACTCAGTTTAGTAACAAGTCACACTTATTTTCTAGTGTTTTAAATGAGTTACCAAGGGTTCTCTTGTACACATTTATTAACACTTGTCATCAATGTTTCTTTTGCACAGGATGCTTTAATGACATAAAAAATTATCAGCCACATGCATGAGTCTCTGTAGTCATCTTGAGTCTCTCTGTAGTCATTGTGAGTCTCTGTAGTCATCTTGAGTCTCTTTGTAATATTTTTAAGTCTCTTTGTAGCCACCTTGAGTCTCTGTAGCCATCTTGAGTCTCTCTGTAGTCATCTCGAGTCTCTGTAGTCATCTTGAGTCTCTCTGTAGTCATCTTGAGTCTCTTTGTAATATTTTTAAGTCTCTTTGTAGCCATCTTGAGTCTCTGTAGCCATCTTGAGTCTCTCTGTAGTCATCTCGAGTCTCTGTAGTCATCTTGAGTCTCTCTGTAGTCATCTCGAGTCTCTGTAGTCATCTTGAGTCTCTCTGTAGTCATCTTGAGTCTTTTTGTAATATTTTTAAGTCTCTTTATAGCCATCTTGAGTCTCTGTAGCCATCTTGAGTCTCTCTGTAGTCATCTTGAGTATCTTTGTAATATTTTTAAGTCTCTTTGTAGCCATCTTGAGTCTCTGTAGCCATCTTGAGTCTCTGTAGTCATCTTGAGTCTCTTTGTAATATTTTTAAGTCTCTTTGTAGTCATCTCGAGTCTCTGTAGTCATCTTGAGTCTCTCTGTGGTCATCTTGAGTCTCTGTAGTCATCTTGAGTCTCTCTGTAGTCATCTTGAGTCTCTTTGTAGTCATCTCGAGTCTCTCTGTAGTCATCTTGAGTCTTTGTAGTCATCTTGAGTATCTTTGTAATATTTTTAAGTCTCTTTGTAGCCATCTTGAGTCTCTCTGTAGTCATCTTGAGTCTCTGTAGTCATCTTGAGTCACTGTAGCCACCTTGAGTCTCTCTGTAGTCATTTTGTGTCTCTTTGTAATAATTTTGTGTCTCTTTGTAATCTTTTTGAGTCTCTTTGTAGTCATCTTGAGTCTCTGTAGTCATCTTGAGTCTCTTTGTAATATGTTGAGTATCTTTGTAATCTTTTTAAGTCTCTTTGTAGTCATCTTGAGTCTCTGTAGTCATCTGGAGTATCTTTGTAATATTTTTAAGTCTCTTTAAAGCCATCTTGAGTCTCTCTGTAGTCATTTTGAGTCTCTTTGTAATAATTTGTTTCTCTTTGTAGTCATCTTGACTCTCTTTGTAGTCATTTGTTTATCTTTGTAGTCGTCTTAAGTCTCTTTGTAGCTATTTTGTGTCTCTTTGTAGTCACCATGAATTTCTTTGTAGTCATTTTGAGTCGCTTTGTAGTTATCTTGAGTCTCTTTATGGTCAGCTTGAGTCACTTTGTAGTCATTTGCATATCTTTCTAGTCATCTTTAGTCCCTTTGTGGTCATTTTGAGTCTCTTTGTTGTCACCTTGCGTCTCTCTATAGTCATCTTGAGTCACTTTGTGGTTGTTTGTAACATTTTGTAGGTGAAGGCGAGGGGGCCCCTGGGCCTGCACCTGGTAGGCCCATTCAGTATTCCATCCATGCACACAAGCACTTCCTACGCATCAATACTGTCCCATAAACTATTCATTAAATCTAAGCATTAATCCACACTGACTGTTTCACACACATTTTTAACGGGGTAATGTATTTGTGCATTTACTATGAATATGTATTGAAGGACAGGAGCAGCAGTTGGCAGTATTATGTACTCACAATGCTGAGCAGGAGCGGGAGCAACAACAGATGCATCATGGGTGTCATGATCACAGTCTGGGAAGGAAGGGGAGAAGAGGAGTAGGAGATATGGGAGATAGGATTATATACAGTGGTGAGGGAAAAAGCAGGAGGTTGAGGAGGCAGAGAGGTGACATGAGGAGGAGGATTTAAGTAACATGGTTAAAATTTACAGAGCATAATATTCACTGTGATCTGCTGTTAAATTCACATCTCACACTTGTAGGAATAATGGAAACTGATGTTGTCCAGAAACAATTAACCGCAGTGTGCCTCACTCTGTTCAGCACACCGAGTTATTGATTCATAAAGACAAAGTAAATCTGTCCTTGGATATCCACACATGTACATGCTATCTCTACGTGTGTGGCACCACCTACACAACCATGTGAATTACCCACCTCGGCACATGGGAGAAACTGAAAGTCAGAGCTTACACGCAACGCACGACTCGAGCAATTTTCACAGTGGGTGTCAATATGACGCAGGTGGCCAAAGGTCATTATGGAGCGTTTAACCTTAGCAACTTTACAGTAGCCTCAGAGTGACATAACAGCCTTCACTGTGTGTTTGTGTGTGCGGGTGTGGCTTTTTTGTTTAAAAAGAATTGACACGTTTTACTGTCTCTCTGCGTGGTTGGATTATAAGACAAAGTCCCCACCACCTCTCCTACGCTGGGGCAAGACACAGACACTGTGTTTTTGCCTCTATTTTGTTGTTGTTTTTCATCTTTTTGCAGTCATAATGCAAAATGATGCAATTTCTTTCTGCATTTGCGTGGTTTTGTGTCTCTTTGAGGTCATCTTCTGTCATTCTTTGGTCGTTTTGTGTCTCTTTGCAGTTGTTTTGTATCTTTTTTGCAGTTGTTTTGTATCTTTTTTGCAGTTCCTTTGCATCTCGTTGTGGTCATTTATGTCTATTCCTGGTCAGTACATTATACAATAATTTGAGTAACATTTTGGGGATGACAGCCAAGGGGGGCCCTGACACTTTGGGCCACAGGGCCTGTGCAGTAATCCATCCATGTCTCTCTGACATCCAAAAGTTACATATGAAGTTTAAATGATAATTCCATGTCATACAGTGTGTCTCAAAGAAGCTGTGAACCCAGATGGAGTTAACTTACTCTAACACCAGTTTGAGTTATGACAGAAAAAAAGTATTCATCATTATCAAACAAGACTAACATAACATGCATAATTGTGCTTAGCAAATATATCTAGGATGTATTGATAAATGACCACGTTCGAGATCTGTTGACTTGTAAAGTGCAGGCGAGAGAGAAGGCTGCCGCAAGAAAGTGAAGGTGACATTGAGTCATGGCCAATGACCTTTTTGTAGCACAGCACACTTTTAATGTCACCGCCCCAGTCACACTCATAATGAACAGGACTTTAACTCTTCTTTGATTTAATTATTATTTAATTACTTTAATTTGTATGTCTGTCTACATGTTGACCACTACTTCTGCTGACTACCATATTTTACTTTTTAGAAAAGCCCACTTTGATTTCTCTGACTTTCAGTGAGGAAAATATTCTGTTAATTGAAATTTTCACTGTATGTGCTCAACAAAACTTTGATGGACGAAGTGACAAAGCTGTAATGACTTGTCTGTTGCAGGCCCTAACTTTCTTCCTTTAGCGCAATGACTGTATGACCTCTGTCAGTCTACATTTCAGCTGCTATGACACCAAATCTAGTGTCCCACACATACACTAATATCCCCCCAAAGCTCGGCTCTGGCAACAACCCAGGAAGCCACAAAGAAGCAGAGGTCAATTGTCAGATATGCCAACACCAGATGCAAAGGCCCTGTCAAAGTCAAGTGAAGATCACAGCACTTCTATAACAAACTAAAAGCATCCAACACATCAAACTCAGCCTGTTAAAAAGCAACAGAAGCAGTCCAGTTGAGTGTCCTACTCACACCCCAAAATCTACTCCAAATACTCAACATGTCCAAAGCTGGGAGACAGAAGAGCGAGGAGACTTACCTTGGCGGAGAGATCGAGCGAGTCACTCCTCAGACCTCAGAGTGATCTGAGCAGCCCCATCCTGTCTGGTCAAACGTTAACCAGGTGTTAACCAGCAATGTTTTATTGGATCTAATGATTGTCTAATCACCCTGCCCTCATGTAGAGTTAGCCAATGGGGGCGTAGCTGAGGAGCAAGAAGGAGACAGGAAGAAAGGAACAATGATACATACAATACTGTGAAAGACAAATCCATTAGCACTTAGTATTAGCCACTGATTTGATATAATGGTTATAGATTATAGAGGGTTACAGAGTCCTGTTGGTGGGTTTAAGTTGCCTAACGTTACTCACAATAGTAATTTTTAGTCTGCAGGTGTGTTGTTTTGTGAACAAAAAGAGAAAAACTGAAGCAAAAGTAATAAATAATGGGGGAAAATTTCTTTAGGAATCTGCTGTTCAGCGTTAGAGTTTCTAATTTCCCCTCAGACTTTGACCTCTGCACCTCTGCACCGTTTCCTGTCAGATTTTCCATTGCTAGCAGTGCCTGATAAGGAGTTGTGTGTAGACAATAGGACCAACAGATTACACTAACAATGCAATGCATCATAAGAATGCAAACCCACGGGGTCATCTGGTGTTATTCAGCAGGTCAAGGCACCTACTATAAAACTGTTAAATAGCAGGTTTGATTCCAGCTCATGGCCTTGACTCTCGCTGAACTTTCCCACCTCTATAAAAGTGTATAAATGAATGCTCAAGAGAAATGCCTCAAAGCTCCTCATTGATTTATGCCTTATCTATGACCCAACCTCTCATATAGCTGTGACTGTCTCCAAAACATCCCAATGCACACCCTGAGCTTTACACGCTGCAGAAAGCTGCTCAGCAACAAGGTAGAGATTTGTGTGAATCCGCAATTGTAGAAAAGCAGGCTGTGAAGTGAGTCACCATTTCACAGCACTGTTATTTAACCAGAACCTGTGACTGCCGTGTTGATGGTTCAGCAGATGAAGCCATTAATTCAGATGGAGGTGACTCTGTTATGTAAAGCATGGGTCTGCCTTGTGATAGATATTCTGGGCCAACTTGCACCAACACCATCTGCCTGATGCTCCCTGGACCGAACATACAAGCACATACACACACTTCCCGGGTTCCTCTGAATGTTACCTTGGCAACACATCTACTGCTTTTCTGACAAAACGGAGTTTGGGATCTGAGCAGGCGGTGTCTGAGCAGGATGTTCGGTGTCACACTGTGACCCAAATCTCTGATCAGTCCCTGAGCAGTCAGATCACTGCACTCAATCATCTGTCTCTCTCTCTCGCACACACACACTCATACACACATACAGGGGGACTAATTTTGTTTCTGAAAGTTCAGCTTTAATGTCACCTGACTCATCTTTTGTCAGCTCAGTTGTGTAAGTGTGTCCCTTTTGTGTCAAAGCTGAGTCACCCATCGTATTTTCTCATCGGTAAGGTTGAGATGACAGACCATAGGTGGAAATTTCAGGGTGGCGGGGGCGGAGGGGACACGTCCCCCTCACGATATAGGACATGTGCATTAGCCAACCCTCCTACAATAAAAAAAAACATGAAAGTAGCAGAGGATTTACTTCGACAAAATCACAGAGATTCATACAGTCATTATCCGTAACTGCTTGTCCTATTTAGGATCACAGGGGGCTGGAGCCTATCCCAACTGACTTTGGAGTCTGGAGGCGTGGTATACCCTGGATAGGTCCCTGACTATCACAGGGCTGACACATAGAGACAGACAACCATTCACGCTCACGCAATTACATCTAAGGGCAATTTAAAGTCACCAGTTAACCTAACTTGCACGTCTTTGGGCTGTGGAAGAAGCTGGAGAACCCACACTGACACAAAAGGGCCCCAACCAGCCGGCGGGTTTGAACCAGGAACCCTCTTGTTGTGAGATGACAGTGCTAAAAACTGCACCACGGTGCTGCCCAAAATAAAGACATGTACACCATAAATTGATGCAGAAAAGGCACAAAATGGTGCATAAAAAAAAATCACCAGAATGCAGTAAATTAACCTCCCCATGTGTCCCCTGTCATGCAGAGACCAAACCTACTCCCATGTGACAGACAAAAGCCACATTTTTTTAATCTCAAAACTGGATGATGTCACTTTATTTCAATAAGCAACACTGAAACATACAAGTAGCAAAATACAATACATTATATCAATCTGTTTTTTATTTACAGTAAGTGCAAAACACAACAAGTTATAAATAAATTTAAAGTAACAACAAAATGATCATCGCAAATCATCATAATTCATCGTCAACAGCTTACAACTGGTTATGTTAGCACTTGGGGAATTGACAGACCACACATTTGGCAAAAGGACAAGGAAAGTGAGGAGACAGGAGAGAAGAGGCTAATATTAATGTAACACAAAAAATGTCCTTCTCTCAGTTTCCATCAGTTGATCACTAACTTCCAACATTTATGACACAAGATGCTTCATTTGCAGATTGTCCAGTCCATTACAGAGGCTAACAAACTGAGCTCAGTCCACTGTCTGCTTTAGACTGCAACACATGGATGGCAGTGCAGAAACGTTGCAAACACCTCTCATGTGCACCATGCTGGCTCAGTGTGAACACAGGACTGAGGCTTGAACCGTTTAGCCCTTCAGAACGAGGCTTCCCTCCAGCCCATGTTCAAATGCTCTGATCTCCAGTTCACCTGCTCAAAGGTTTGTTGCAGGGTTAAAAACACAGGAGTCTGTCAGGCTCCTACAGCACAGAGAGATCATGACAGGACTTCGATTTCAGCCAGAATGCCACACTGGGATTGTTCTTTGCCACCACCTTGTCCAGGAAGCGTTTGGCCTTCATAGGGAGGCTTTCTCGGCGTGCACTACAGCTTATGTGCCTGCGACGCTTGTTGGCTTCCTTGGAGTCTCTGCGTAGACGCAGCTGTCGCACTATGCCGTGGAAAGCCTCCCAGACATTGTGCTGCATGGCGGCTGAGGTTTCGATGAACTTGCAGTCAAACACAGCAGCACATGCACGACCCTCTGAAACAGGAAGTCAGTGATCAGTACTTGCACATAGAAAAAAAACCTCACAGTGAACACAAACAGACAGGGATTTGGTCTCCTCACCGCTGACTGACACCTCTCTGCGTCGCACCAGGTCACATTTGTTCCCCACCAGGATGATCGGTGTGTGCTGGGCAGGCCGGAAGCGGCGAAGGGTGATCCGGAGCTCGGAGGCTCGCAGGAACGAGGCCCGGTCGGTCACAGAGTACAGCAACAGGTAGGCATCACCTGTCTGCATGTAGTGTTCCCGAGCCCATTCGTTATCAGTCTGCAAAGACAAACATGCACCGTTAGATGAAGGATTCACAGTGTGGCATGTATAGTGTGCCCTCCTCAGATTCACACAAGGCAATGCAGCTGTTTTTCCACCTCACCTCTGCATCCCATGTGTCGAGAAGAGTTATGGTTGCAGGCTCTCCGTCCACTTCAATTTCCTTTTCACACACTTCATCTGAAATGATTGGGAAAATCATGGACTTATAGTCATTTTGTTGACGGAAATGTGTTGGACATAATCATACCATCAAAATAACTGCAGCATTACGATATTATTATAAAAAAAAAATCAACAAGTGCATGTTGCTTAATAAACATTACAATGGCCTTTTCACATATTATTTTCTCTGTATTTTATAATGTGCAAGTTTGAAATTTCTATATAGGGCTTTAGTTTGCTTTAGTTCGTTTCCTTTTAAAATGTATTATAAAACTAAGACAGATCTGTTTGTCAATAATCACAACACAATATATTTCAGCATCTTTTCCTCACCTCCACACAGCTCACAGTCATCGCTGTCCATGCTGTCCGCTGCCCCTGCGAAGATGCTGGCAAAAGCCGTCTTGCCGACCCCGCTGGCCCCTAAAAGCACCACCCGATAGGGGCCCCCGGGTTCTAACGGCTCTCCGGCCGAGTCGGTGGAGATGACCGAGTCTGAGGACGACCAGCTCCCGCGGCTCACGTCCGACTCCCCGGTGGAGCTGGTGCAGGACTTGGAGCGAGAGATGCAGGCGGGGACGCGGGCCAGGAGGCTGTCTGTGAGCAGGTGGCTGCCCGGGTCGCAGATGCTCCACCGGTGGAGCTCGGTCTGCAGGCGGAGGCTGTGCCGGCGCACACTGGACAGCATGTTGCTGGAGCAGCGATAAAATCAGGATGAAAACACCCCCCAAAAAACAAAGTTGAACGAGTCGGTTTCTTCCTTAAAAGTCGCTTTTACAGCTTCCTATCCTTCAGATACATAAATGTCCATTTGTTTCAAAGAGACTGACTTAAGATAAGGGGAGCATAAACTGTCCTAAAATGATGAAAAAGACAATAAAGTAAGTATAAATATGCTCTGCTGCAAGTATACTCAACAATAAATTACTGCACCCTCAATGAGGCTGATAAAACGCATGAAACTATTTCTATAATCTCGACTTCAGATGCAAAGACGTGCATCCCGCATTAAAAACAAACTTTAACTCGAGCATCGCAAAAACATTTGGTTGGCAAATCCCGGAGCGACATTCACAGCTGGCTTCTTCTCCGTGTGTCTGCAGCAGTCTGTCAGTAATCTCCATCTGAGAGTGTCTCTAATGCTGCGATGGGGTTTCCCTGGTTTATAAAGACGAAGAGGAGGAGGGATCACACAAGTGGAGCATGAGTGTTTACTGTGGTGTGGTGGGTATTTACTGTTCTGACTCACTCTCACACTGTCAGGATGGGCTACTGCTGCCCAGATTATGTTTACACCAAAGGGGCATTGAATTGTGCAACATGAAAGTAAAAATGAATTAAAAAATGTCTTTGCGGAATTTATAGATGAGGTTTTCTGGAGATGAATAGATCTCTCTTATATCCCCCTGAGCCCTGAACTTTTGTTTGGTATGCATTTTTAATTTCTCCTAGCTATATGGGATCAGCAGGAGCTGATAACTATAAAAAAATAATTATTGTCAACGATAATTAAGTCCTAATATCCTCAAATGAAACAACAATAAAGTCCCAAAGTCCTCAAACGAGTAC